AAGAGCGGGAGGAACGCAGGGATTTTGGACCCTACAGACATACTCCTTTCCTGGTCTGCCAGCACATTGCAGACACTGCTATTAGACCAAAGGTTTTCTCCTCATCTGCGACGAGGAGGAAACTAGGCAGACAAAACCTCGGGCTTTTGCTCCTTGTGCAGGATTTGGCCCTGCCACCCGTTTGCGTCCTGCCTCTGGTCTCCGCGGTGGAAAGCAAATTTCATCCTCTGATGAGAAACAGGAGGAGGATTTTAATGGGCTGTAATTAAACCCATAAGTGTTTCTTTAGGAGCTTTTTAATGAGATTCCGCAGAGCGGGAACAGAGGGTGCTGGAGCGGGAAGGGCGGGGGCAGATGCTCTCCAGAGCACAGATGGGGCCTCCCTTCGGAGGCTGCTCTCCTTTAAAGTCCCATGTGAGCGAGATCTAACATGAAATCAAAGCTCCTGGTTTTGTGGAGTCCGCATGATTCTCAGACACAAAAAAACTATGCTTTTTGTGCTAGAATCTGATTTTGCAGCAATTCCCAGAAGAGGCAGTTTGCAGTGGATTTGGTGTTTTTCCTCCTTTGCTAGGTGTGAACCCTTCTCACCTTTTCTTGCTGTTCCTGGTTTTTTTTGTAACACCCTCCTCCATGTTTCCTCTGCGGTGTCAGACTCGGAGGGAAAGGCAGCAGCTGAGGTAGCAGCTTGCATCAAGTGGGTTCCAGGGGCCATGTCTTTGCTCCAAAGGGGAATTTGCTAGGGGTGCTGCCGCGTGCTCTTGGTGCTGGGATGCACGGACCCATTGCTTCTGGATCTGAGAAGGACCCAGTCACTTGCTGCTTCTGCTGCTTCTCCTGCGAAGCAATGACACATGCCAACTGTTCTTATTTCTCAAGCTTTTTTTTTTTTCACCTCTGTCCTTGCATAAATCCCCTTTTGACTTCCATGTATTTCTATGGAGATGAACACATGGGGCCTCCTTTTCTTCCAGGTGCCTGGATTCTGCCTGGGTGCGTTTATGTTGCTGGAGGATGGTTTAGTCATTGTAATATCAGCAGCGGCTGTTGTCAGTGCTGGCACTGCCTTGCTCCAAGGGGCTGTTGCTGCTCCTGGAGAGATCTTCAGTTTACAGGCCACAGGGTGATGTCTTGGTTTTATATTTTCTGTCCACTTTGCACACTCCAGAGGGGACTTAGTAATCAGCCCAGGCTCTCTCCGCTTTCACAGTAAATCTGCAATCATGCTGGATAGCAATTTGCTAGGTGATGCAGGGGATGGAGCGGGCAGGATTGATCCCGGGAGCCGTGGTGGCTCCGAGGGCCAGCCCCGCGCAGCTGGGGTGCAAGCGAGGACAAGGCTTGGGGTGCAGAGCGGCTGCTCCCTGTTGCGGCTTCCCGGCATGGCTGCCGTCAGCTGAGGGTGCCGCTGTGGGAAACTGGAGCGGGAGGGTTTGTAGCCCCTCTGTGCGACCCACAAAGCAGCCTGCATGTGAGGAGTTGCCTGCGGGGTCTCCAGAGGCTAACGAGAGCCCGCAGAGTGCACTAACGAGCTGCTGTTGTGCAGCCTTTGGTCCTGGGCCCGGAGAAATGCAGCAGCCCGCGCTGGCCTGGGGCTCTGGCACTCTGCAGCCCACGTCTCTACCTCTGTGCTCCCTGCAGAGCATGTTGGGTTGTCTTGGATATTTGTATAGCACGATAGAGGGTAAGTCTTAATCCTCTTCCATTCTTCCCCTCTTTTCCCCCTCTTTCATTCTAAATGCTGCTTTTTCTCTCTCTTCTCCCCAGAAAGGGTGCTTCTGCAGTCTGGGGCTGATTTATACCAATAAATCGTGCACGATGCCTCCCATCACTTTCCAAGACCTGCCGCTGAACATCTACATGGTCATTTTTGGCACCGGCATCTTCGTCTTCGTGCTCAGCCTCATCTTCTGCTGCTACTTCATCAGGTGAGCTGGGGCCTGCTGGGGCAGGGGGCTCCGCGTGGCCGGGATGCGCACGGCCTGGAGACAGGGCGCTGTGGCCAGCTGGCTGGGATTTGACTGAAAGAAAACCGAGACTCGTATTGAGCGTGGCGACCGCCCACAGTGCCAATACTCACAGCCTGAGATGCTGATCTCCCTCCCAGTGCCTGGGCAGGTCGATGGCTTGGGTGAGATGTCCCTGCCAGAGGTCCTGGTCCCGCTGGTGGCTTGGAGGCGCCTTTGGGCTTAGCCGAGGGCTGTCACGATCCCAGTGGGCTGTGCTCGGGGACTCCAGTGGCAGAGCGGCCATGGGCATGGCCACCGGCACACAGGGAGCTGTGAGCACGGCACCAACAGCAGCCAAGGGATCAGAGGCTATTTTTAGCTGCTGTTAATAGTCTCCCCAAGGCCTCCTATCACTTCCACTTAGATCCTGGTAACTATTTTTTTAATTAAGCAAATTAGAAGCATTTATTTTCCCCCTGTGTTGCTAGGATCTGTTGGCCCCACTTGAGCCATGTGCCTGGTTTCATTACAGCTGCTGGAGGTAACTCTTGCTGGCCCCGGGGCAGTGCGATGTGTGACCGTGTGGCAGGGCGCTGGGGAGCACTCAGCCTGCAGCTCAAAAGTTATCTGGCAGGCTTAAGGCGTTGTGTTCCTCCGCGGTGTTAAATGTCAAGGGCTGGCTCCAAGTAACAGTTTCCCTTTTACTTTTGACAAGCTTTTCCCACCTTGGAGCAGCTGTGATGGGGAGGGACCGAGCGGCATCCCCAAGTGCTCCCCAAGGTGTCCGCGGTGCCCGGAGCACTTTGTCCTGCTGCGCTGCCCAGGGCTTCGGCTGCACCCAGGGCACCAATAGCGCCAACAGCACTGGCTTGGACGCCAGGGCCACCCCCAGCCCTTGCTGGTGCCTCCTTGTTTTCTCCCCTAACGTGCTGGGAAGTTTACCATTGCCCCAGGGAGGGGGCTCAGGCGCCTGTGAGCTCTGCCAGAGCAGGGCCGGAAACAGCAGGAAGGGGCTCCTGTTTTCCAGGGGCCGCGCTGGACGGCCGCATTGTGTGGGCAGCAGCCGGGGCTGTGCTGTGCAGGAGAGGATGTGTCTTTGCATTGCGCTCCCTGTGCAGAGAGGGCTATTTTTAAGCTCAGAGTTGAGGCAGCAGCTGGCTTTTCCTTTGGGGCCCAAGGAGCTCAGTCCTTCACTGCAGGATGCCTCAGCTCCGCCGTTGCCCTGTGCACATCTGCAAAGGGCTTTTGCCAGCGATGGGGAGCAAAGCGGGCCTGATTCCTGGGACCCTCCAGGGCCAGCGAGAGCTCGTGCTGTGCGGTAGCTCCCTGCACCCTTCCCCATCCCCCTGCTGCGGCCCTGGGCCAGCCCTTGGGTTATGCTGACATAAACCAGCTGGTGAGCTCAGAGGGGGTTGCGGGGTGGGTTGTGTGCACATGAGTAGCAGCAAGACACTGGTTTTTGGAGGAATACTCTGCGTTTGGTCTTGCTCGCCTGTGGAGCCCACTGCAAAGATGCCCCGTGCCCAGCCGTGCCCCAGCCCGTGCCCAGTCCGAGGGAGGGTGGTCACTGGGGAAGGGCCTGCTGGGCTGCTGCAGCAGCTCTGCAGAGCTAATGGAAAGGCATCTCCCAGGCGAGAGGCATCGTTGTGAAATCCTGAAATCCCAGCACAGGTACAAGTGGCAGCACCTTGTGGTGCCTTGGTGGCAGAAGCAAAGGCCTGTGGGCAGCCTCCTTCCCCCAGGGTTAGCGTCTCACTGGATTTTCCTGCAGGACACTTTTCCCCAGCCCCTTCGGCTCAGCCCCAGGCCGCAGCGGCTTGGCTGGGAGCTGCCGGCTGCCGGCGGGTGCTGGAAATACAGCGCTTCCTGGACCTCTAACGACTTCCGAAGTGAAACAATCGGGGCTGCGGCTGTGGGACCTTATTGTCTGCCGGCCGCCCGGTTCTCCG